GGTGATCGCAGGTATGCGACACCAGCCGACGTTAAGAGTTGCAACGTCAAGTGCCGCCGGGTTTGTTGAGACGAGTTTAGGCCATCGTAATTTAAGAAATGTTATTTTGAGGTGTCAACTGGTGCCTTTTGCTTAAAGAGACTTCCTGGGAAAGTTGTCCTGACCGTACCGTTATCGATGGCACTTAACGTAACGTAAACCTAGCCATGCATTGCGTAAGGCCCGGAGTTCGATATTGGGGAAAAAGGGTCTTCTGTGTAGCCATCCTGGCGCTACCCTTGTTATTCCTCTGACAGCACGTTGTCTGGCGCATCCCCTCTTTTGGGTTTTGTACGCGTTGCGTGGGCTGGGAAAGCGTCCTAGCATTTGCGTTGGTAGGGCCCAATGCCCCACTTTTTAGTTTCCTACGGGTGGAGCGAATTTTCCTGCTTCGTGAACAAGAGATTCACGTCAACCACCGGACGTATCAGTTCGATACGATTCTCTTGAACAGTTTATAATTGACACACTCATTTTATAATAAAGTTATTAACCAGTTGCGCGGTGTCTATTCCTTTTACTTTCCTTTGGGCAACTTCAACGTACAATTGAAGTACGAGTGACATTTTGGTCCTTCGAGCCGGATCGGTGATCCGGTAATACAAGAATTGGATAACACATCGCAGAAGTGCAGGATCCACCGTATGAAACATCTGTTTCCAGACCGTACGTACTGAGTTTTACCATTCAACGGTCGTGGATTTTTGGCATTATTGACTGCAACCAGTGATCTGCTTAGTTAGCAGCTATAGAAAACTGTGTTTCCAATAGTTTTGGAATTTCGTTGTGGTCTCTGTGCATCAATCGAGTACCACAATTCTTCCCTACATTTTGAGATTTTGGGATTGTTGCGGCTTGTCAGCAGCAGTCAGTTCAAGAGAAACGAGGAACCTGCCGAGCGGACTCTACAACCTACCCGGATAGGACGATTATACCGGTGGCAGAACGGCTTCTCAACGTCGGGGATATCAACGACAATATACTTCATCTTTTAATTCATCACGAGACGACATCGATTGACATACGATATTTACCATATGTAAATTATACTTCGGTGAGTGTAACGAATCACTTTCCTTGTTTTTATTTCTGTCCTGTTCCGGTGTTCGATTTCAGTAATCATGGCTACTCAAGAATCTGCAAATTTAAAGGCGATGAAAAAGCAACGATCCAACATTAAGGCTCAAGTAACTCGTATTGTAACCTTTATAAACGAAAGGGTAGATTTCGATATTGAAGAATTAGATGCGCGTAAAACAAGATTAATAGAATTACGTGATTTATTTGATAAGGTACAAAGTATTATTGAAATGGAGGATGATGTTTCTGATCATGTTCCTACCAGAGATCAATTTGAAAGTCAGTTCTTTTCCACAATAGCTTGGTTGAATAAAAATATAAAATTATTAGGTGCACAGAGTAGACCTGCTTCTACAAGTACTTTAAATGAATTTAATCTGCCAGTAACCTAGTAGCAAAACAAACAAACACACTTTTGCCAAAAATAGAAATAAAACCTTTTGACGGAAATCCAATGGAGTGGCATAATTTTCACGATACGTTTAAGTCATTGGTTCATAATAATGTTGACTTACCGGCAGTTCAGAAATTTCATTTACTAAAGAATTCCTTACGCGGGGAAATATCATATTTAATTTCTGCACTTAATGCATCTGAAGCTAATTACAATGTAGCATGGGAATTATTGCAGAAGAAATGCAATAGACCTCGACAAATTATCAATTCACATCTAAAAGCATTGTTTGAATTGCCTGAAATTAATCGTGAATCTGCTGTAAATTTACGTACGTTATCTGAACAAGCACAGATGCACGTCAATACTCTTAAAACTGCTAAGCAACCTGTAGATAATTGGGATGCTATTTTGGTTTATTTAATAGCTAAAAAATTGGATAAAATTACGAAGCGAGCTTGGGAACGTACCCTCGAAAATGAAGAAATGCCCACATTCGGGCAATTGATTAATTTTATTAATAAACAAGCACGAGGTGATGAACCGGAAACGGAAAATTTTGCAACATCTCATAAATTCCAAAATCATCGTAGTAGCAATAAATATAATAAGGGAATACAGAATTATGCTACTTCAATTAATAAGGGTACATGTTATCTTTGCAAAGAGGGTCATAAATTATATAAATGTCCAAAATTTTTAAAATTAACAGTACGCGAACGATTTGATGAAGTTCGTAAAATCAAGTTATGCTTTAAATGTCTTAAGGGAAACTACAATAATTCTAATTGTTCGTTTAAAAATTGTTTCAAATGTGGTCGTCCACATAATTTGTTATTACATTTTTCAACCCCAATGGTTGTTTCTAAGACAGAGGAGAATTCTCCCAGCACGTCCTCCGGTTGTGTGAGTGACAAAACAGTCATGACGATCACAAATGATTCGGAAGTATTATTAGGTACTGCTCTTATTAAGGTTTATGAGAAGTATAATAACGAACACGTTTGTAGAATATTGCTAGATAGTGCCTCTCAAGCGCATTTTATTACAAATAAACTAGCTAAGCGTTTAAATTTGAAGAATGAAAATATTGATTGGAGTTTATCAGGTATTAATAAAATAAAAACTAAAGCAAATGTTTTAGTAGAAGCTAAAATTAGCTCACTTTCTGGAGATTATAATAACAAGATAAAATGTGTAGCTGTTGATATTATTAGCGGATTATTGCCTGCAAATTTCGTTAAAAGGGAAAATTTAAAAATTCCAAAGAATATTCAATTGGCTGATCCTCATTTTTGTAAACCAGCCGAAGTAGATATGCTTTTAGGAAATAGCATTTTCTATAAATTATTAACTAACGGTCAGATTAGGTTAAATGACGATAAGGTAATTTTACAAGCTACAAAATTAGGATGGATTGTAACAGGGGACGTAGACTGGAAAAGGGAGTCACAGACTAAGCAAAGATCATGTTTTTTAACACTGTCTCTTGATCAGCAGTTAAATAAATTCTGGGAAGTGGAAGAAGTTTCAAATGTAGCCTCATTGTCGTTGAAAGAACGTAATTGTGAAGATCATTTTATTAAAAATACATCACGTGATAGCTCAGGACGCTATACAGTTAGGCTTCCATTTAACGAAACTATATACATGTTAGGCGAATCGCGAACTATGGCGATGAATCGTTTTTTAGCTTTAGAAAGAAAACTTCATAAGAATCCAAGCTCATTAAAGCAATATTCTGAATTTTTAGAGGAATATGAATCATTAGGTCATATGAGTAAAATCGTGAGCGATGATATTAGCAAGGGCTATTATTTACCACACCATGCAATATTCAAAGAATCCAGTATCACAACCAAGATAAGAGTGGTATTTGATGCATCGGCTAAGAGTTCGACTGGTGTATGTTTAAATGATATTTTACTAGTTGGTCCAACCATACAAGATACTTTATTCTCGATTCTGTTGAGATTTCGTACTCACGCTTTTGTCTTAACTGCTGACATCGAAAAGGTGTTCAGGCAAATTCAAGTCCATCCAGAAGATAGAAAATTTCAAAAAATATTGTGGCGTACTTCTCCTGATCAACCTATTGCGACATACAAATTAAATACTGTAACGTATGGTACCGCGTCTGCACCTTTTATAGCAGTACGTTGTTTGAAACAATTAGCGAATGATGAATCCGATAAATTTCCAATTGCAGCAAAAATATTTCAAAGGGACTTTTATGTTGATGATATTCTTACAGAGGCATCCGATCTGAAATCTTCATTGATTTTGAGAAATGAATTAATCGGATTGTCTAAATTAGGAGGATTTAATTTACGACAATGGTCCTCGAATGATAATAGATTGCTTAATGACTTAACTATTGAATCGAATGATAAGTCTATTCGTTTAGATTCGGAGGATAACAGAAAAATGTTAGGCATTTATTGGAGTCCGTCTTCGGATAATATTTGTTATGTTATCAAATCATTTGAGGAACATACAGTTATTACCAAGCGCGTAATTTTATCGCACATTGCGCAATTATTTGATCCGCTTGGATTAGTTGGCCCGGTTATTATAAGGGCAAAAATTATTATGCAAAATTTGTAGAAGGCTAACATAGGGTGGGATGAGACAGTTCCCCAAGAATTACTTTCTATATGGTTATCATATAAAACCGAACTTCATTTATTAAGTAAATTTAATATGAATCGCTATTTACATATTGATAATGCAATAGACTTCCAATTACACGGATTTTCGGATGCAAGCGAGTCTGCTTATGGAGCTTGTGTTTTTATTAGATCAAGTAATCGAGAAGGAAAACATAAGGTAGCATTACTTTGTGCAAAATCACGTGTAGCTCCAGTCAAGACAATTTCGCTTCCACGATTGGAGTTATGTGCTGCGAGACTTCTAGCCAACCTGTATATTCAGGTAAAGGGTTCCTTAACCAATGTTCATTTTAGCAAAGTTAGATTTTGGTCCGATTCAACCATTGTTTTACATTGGTTGAAAACTCCTCCTCACAAGTTGAAGGTTTTTGTAGCCAATCGAGTAAACAAAATTCAGACTTTAACAGATACGAATACTTGGTTTCACGTTTCGTCTGCAGATAACCCTGCTGACGCTATATCGCGGGGACAATCTCCGAGTCAGTTTTTAGAAAATTCTCTGTGGCTGAATGGTCTTTATTGGCTTTCTTGCCAAGAAAATTTATGGCAAATTAAAGAACTCCATGAAATTGAGATATCGGAGAAACGTAACGTAATTTGTCTAGTTACAAGTAAGGACGTTAATGATGTTTTTGATAGGTTTTCATCTATTTGTAAACTAAATCGAGTTTTTGCTTATGCGTTAAGATTTTACTATAATTTGAAAAATAAAAAGGGACGTACTGGATTACTTGCGGTACAAGAAGTTAATGATGCTCATTTAAAAATTTTACAATTGGTACAGGAGCAAGCATTTGCTATAGATATGAATAATTTAAGAAATGGTAGAGCTCTGAATAGAAATAGCAAAGTATTGAACTTAAATCCTTTCATTGACGATTCTGGGAGTTTACGGGTAGGTGGTCGGCTCAGATATGCAAATATTAATTATGCCCAAAAACATCCGATTTTATTACCCAGATCACATCACATAACAAATTTAATTATTAACCATGAGCATATACGGCATTGGCATTCGGGTATTTCAGCAACTTTAAATGCAGTAAGACAACGATATTGGCCAATAGA